TATAATCAACAAATCAAGATACATCATACTCAATACAACAAGAAGTTACAAAATGTCAACTGATTGTTATAGAATTTGTATTTTACCTACATTTTATTTTATATTTTTATAATTTTAAGAGAAAATAATAGAAAACAGAATATTCCATTATGCAAAAAATATATTACACTATTTTCATTTGATCATTTTATTTAGATTCATAATTTCTTCGCTTATTTTGGTTCCCGATCTTCATGATGAAATTATAGATAAAAATGATCTTCATTTTAAATTATTGACTGAATTTTCAAAGAAAATCTTAAAATCACAATATAATTTATTAAATAATAAAGTATTATGTGATGAGATTCAATATTGTATTACTTGTCAAATAAGAAATGTTAATCATAAAGTAGCATGGTATTGTTATCATTTGATGAAAGAAAGAAAAAATATGTCATTAAAATATCTTATTAATTATGATGAACTTCCATCATTTGCTTTTAAATCAAAACAAACTATAATAAATTGGAATGATAAATCTATTTCTAATGTTGAATTACCAAAGAGTTATAGTTTGATAGGAAATGTAGTTGTAAATAAAATGAAACATAATACAAATGTACATCCAAGGAATAAAGTTGAATTTAGGAAAAGAAAATCAAAAGAAGTATTTTTTAATGAAATTGCACCATTTCAAATGAAGAAGTATGTAATTAGTGAAAGAAGTAAAAATGATGAAGATAAAATAATTAATGATGATAATGAAATTATTGAAGAAGATAATGTTGAAGAAAGAATGTCATCAATTCATTCACATAATTCTATCATTAAAATATCTCAAAATGAAACATATATTAATGAAATACATGAATATGATAGTATATTAACAGAAGATGAATTTGAAAAGATAATGAAAACATTTAATGTTCCACAAAAATGTATGTTATGTGGAATATCAAAGAATAATAATATATATCAATTACAATATAATATTAAAGAAATAGAAACAATTATATTCCCATTTTCATCAAAAAATAAATATTGATTAATAGCATATGTTAATAAAATTAATATAATAAGAAAAGAATGTGTAGTACATATTAAATATGGAAATGATAAATATCCAGTGTTTATGAGAGGAATGAATAAACAAATAATGAAAGTATTAGAATTAACAAATGAACCAATAATTTATTCTATAAAAATTGATGAATGTATTGGACAATTAAAACATAATGGTTATATAACACTTTTCTTAATAGAATCTTTCTTAATGAAAAGAAAAGAAGATGATATAACAAGATAATCAAAGAATCTGAGAGAATATATTTCAATAGAAAAAATGATAAAATCATTCAAATGTTATAAAAAATTAATCTTAATTAATTTTAATAACAACAAATATCTTTTTTAAAAGTAAAATAATATGAATAAATAAAAGTACAATATGTTATAGAAGTAAAATAATTTAATGTAAATTAATTTGTTCTAATTTTTAAACTGATATTTTTAGTATGAAAATATCAATCAAATTATTTAAATTATCAAAAATATGTTTTCAATATAAAATTTATTCAGAATATATATGTTAAAATTTATTATATTTTTAAACTAACATAAATATAAATCCATTATTTGTCATCATATCATATTTTGCACTAATAAAAATCCATCAATATTCTCTTTTCAAATTATTCTATCTTCGAACAACTGAAGTGAATATTCATTAGATTTTTCAATAATTCTTGTAAATATGAAGAAATATTAAAAAATTATATATTATATAAAATTTTTTGAACAAAAATAATCAAAAAACAATTATGGCAAATTATTTTCTAATTTGAATAATTTACCATAATTGTTTTTGATTGTATATAGAAATGTTTTATTACCATTTCTACTGTTCTTTCATCAAAAATATGATTCTTCAAGTGTTTGGTATTCTCCTTTGATTTTTTATTAACATTGATAATTTAAATAATAATAATAATAATAAGGGTTAGGGTTAATAAAAAGTAGATAATTAAATGTTAATGATTTTATTTTCTATTGTTCATTGGAGATTAATCCCGTCCATTTGCTTTAAAAATGTTTATTCATCAACTATTAGCTTATTCTTTGCTTTTAATTTTTGAATTGTGAGAATTTCTTTTCCTCTTTTATTTATTGTACAATAAAGTATTTCAGGTATTCTTGACTTAAATATCTTCATTTAACTTCTATTTGATTTTAATGAGTTAAAACTCTTCTTCTTTATTTTCTTATTTTAAGAAGAATATATCATTATCACTATACCAATTTTCTTTTTAGCATCAAATATAACATAAACCTTTTTTCTTTGGTAATATGAGTATTATCAAATATATTCATATTCTAGCAAGTAACACTACTATCTTTATAAATAAGTACATTTTTATTATAATGATATCCCATCAACATAAATAATAATCACTGTTGTTTTTACAGTATTGAGTAGGGTGTCTTCTAACTAATAGTAACATCATAATCAGAATATAACTGGGTGATTCAAGCATGGACATATTTTAGGGTTTTGTGTGGTGTGGTGATACTACCTTCCAATCATGTTTGACAATTATTAGTAAGAAATCAAATATGATTTACTTATGACTAGGGTTTTCATTATGTTGAGAAGTGAGTAGTTCAATTTCTTCAACATGCCTTATTTTATATGAAATAATGTTTTTTCAAACATGCTCAAATTAAATGGTTTTTCATTTAAGTTGCTGTCTGACTTTTGTTTTGAATTAAATGAGCATTAAAACTCTTCATTCTTTATAATATTATTATAAGAAGAACATATTAATAACATTATGGCTCTTCTCCTTTATTATCAACACTACTTAAAGAAACCCTTTTTCTTGATAACATACCATATACTCAACTTAAAACCATCAGTGATAAGTATATTGTGTCCTAATAAATAATAACACTCCCACCATAGTAAATAAATAATAGTCATGATAAATAACCTTATCTCATAATAAATAATAATAATCACAATAAATAACAGTCATTAATAAATAACGTCTCCTTAGTAATAAATAACCAATTAGTGTTGTGTGGTATGTTATCTCACCAAAGGCAGGTCATAACCAGAAGATAACTGAGGATTCGAAGTTTGGACATATTAGGGTTTTTTTGGTTTCTGACATACCACCTTCGAATCTCCAACTTTTTGAAACATAATAAAAATTAATAAAATAAGAATCAGTAGATCTTAATTTATCTATTTCACATTGTTCAGATGAGATTACATCATTCATTTTCTATTGAATAATTTACTCATAAGGTACTTCTCTATATTTACCTCAATGATACCAACAACATTTCATTATGTCTTTCATGTTTTTAGTTATTATATCTTTTACCATTATTTCATATTGAATTATTACACCTTGTTCTTTTATCACTTTTAGTGATTCTTTATTAACTAAGCCATTTATTGTTGTTATTACTGGAATTACATTCATTTTAGTTTATTGAATTGTCTTATTTTGAAATAGAGAAATCTATACATTTCAAGTTTATTAGTAAATACTAAATTATCTTCTTATTACATATTATTGTCATATTATTTATTATTTCTATTTGTTTTATTTTATCTTCTATATAAATATCTGGTATTTTATGAAATATTCACTTTTATTAACTATTTGATGATTCAATACAATGAACACTTCACTATTTTCAATTCTTCTTTTGAATTTACCAACTTCATTTTTATTAAATATTAATTTCATTTTATTCACTTATTTTATTCACCATTTATCCTCCATTCATTATATTTATTTTATATTTTAATTTATCACCTCTCCAACTATATTCTCCTATTAAATCATGTTTATCAATTTGTAATTTGTACATTCTTATTTACAATACAATTTAATAATATATATTCATTGTTGATATTTTACCATTACAAATAATATATTACTTTAAATTATTATTTCCTGTAATTAATGCTTTCTTAATCACTATAAATGTACCATTTTGTTGGATTAATTTTAATTATTTATATTAATTTCATTTTATATTAATATTCATCCATATTCTACTTCTTAGTTTCGTATCATTTTCAAAATATTTTATTAAATGAATAATTACATTATTTAATTTCAATTTATTAATATATATTTCATTAAATTTATTATTTAAATATTTTATTATTATAGATAGTTCATTCTTATTTTGTGACAATAAATATATTTCATTAAATTCATTTTTATTAATTCTCTTACTTCATGTTTTATAAAATCACTTCCAAATTCCATTCTTATTCATTTTATTTATTTCTCTTATTTCATTATTTCCATTCATAATACATAATAGTTCTTATCAATTCTAATCCATATTCATCTCTTAATGACACTAATCAATCAATTAATTTATCTTTATTAATATATAATCTATCTTTATTTAATGCTTTAGAATGGATATTTGCATCTTGCATCTTCTTTGTAATGTATATATCAATTTTATCTAATTTATTGATTGGTCAATGGATCACAGATGCAACTATCTGAAAATATTGATAATTTCAATATTAATTGTATTGATGTAATTTCTATTACTTTCATTCAATTTATTGATGATATCTATTTTATCTATCATATCATTTTCTATTTTATTAATACATTTTATATCATTATTCTTCTCATATTTGAAGACACCATGATATTTGTATGAATTTGAGTCACCTACAAATGGGATTTCAATCATTTTATCATTGATTATAATATTTTATTTTCTAATTATTCTACATTTTTTAATATTTACTTTAATCAATATTCATTTAATTACATCAATAATATTTTGATGTGATTATTTTAATTACTTTCTTCGAATCACACATAATTTTTAAATCAACCATGTATAAAGTATGATCTACTTTGATTGAATTAATATCAATATCATTTAATGGATCTGATATGATATTTTATTAGATAATAAATAACAAATGAGAGAATCATATTATAATATCCAACATTTTAATTTAATATACTCTAAATTATTATTGTAAGGATGTCCCATCTTAATACACCATATATTACACATACATTCAATTAAATTGGATATGACATTATTAATATTAAAATATTTTAATAAATATATTATCTATTGATGATTCACATAGTCATATGCCTTCTTTATATCATAGAATATCTTATTGAATCTTTTCTTTTTTAGACTCCATTTCTTGTCTTCATAGATATTTTTTAATGATACCTTCTTTTGCTGATAATCACATTTCTTTACACAATATTTGATTTTTATCTATTTTGTATTTAACATCATTTATTTGTAATTGGTATGTGATTTTAATTTTAATGAGTGAGGTGAATACTTTCATTATCATATTAAAACAACATAATTGTTTTATAGTTTTCTGATGATTTAGAATTACCACAATTGTAAATTAGTAATGTCTTTCCAACTACTATCTGCATGAGGATACTTTGTTGGTACTCTAACCATGATTAGAATATTTCTATTAGTTTATCTCTGTACCCAGTTAGATGCTTCCAATAATATCTTTCTATTCAATCAAATCAAGGAGCTTTCCATGGATTGTTTTTATGGGGTATTCTATTTCATCTATTGATATTTTAATTCTCTTGTTGTTACTCTTCTTTCCTCACTCTTCTATGATTCTTCTATTATATTTATTATTAATGTCTATTTCTCTCTTTCATATATCCCTTTCCAGAACCTAATTGTATCATCATCATTTGGATATTCTATTTCTTCACTTCTTTTTTATTTATTCTTCTTCTCATTTCTTATCATTATTTTATTTTTACATATTCTTCTCCTATCTTCTTTATTAATTTCTATTCTATTCTTCTTCTTATTAATTAAATATTCTATTTGTTTAATTTCATGTATATTAATAATATATTTATCATTGTAATATTTCCAACTTTTTGAAAAATAAAATCGATAAAATATAATGAAAAAAAAGACTTTTGATAAATCTTATGAATACTC